CCGATGATTTCCTAGGTTTTTTGGACAAATGCAAAAAATCCAAACAGTTGAGGAAATCCAAAACATCCAATTTTTAAAGCCCCAACAATGGGTGTTTTGGACTTTCTGGTAATTTTGTAGCGAATTTCAACACTATACAATCTTTTTGGAATTTCATTAAAACTAATAGGGAGATCCTGGATTCCGGGATTCCCGGATTTTGAAGCTGTTTCCGCTGTTATAAATTCTGTATTGAAGGTAATTACAAATAATAGAAAAATCCTGGATTCCTGGATTTCCGGATGTCGAATTTGCTTTCCGCCTCATAAATTCCTTATTAAATTTGATTAAAATGATTTTCGAAATCCTGGATTTCAGAAAGTAATATGGAAATACTGGATTCCTGGATCTCTGGATTCCGCTGCTTTTCCATGCATAAGGCAGTCAACATTCAAATCTCCCAAACAGCAAATTCGTCGGTATTTACAGTGCTTTGTAGCATTTTCATACAGAAGAAAGACCTAGAGGTAGATCATGCGGGGGGGTGACCATATATATATATATAACATGGTATCCCCCGAACCCGCCTCGGTACATAAAAGTCATGGCCGGCGCAGTAACAATTAATGGCTTTCAATTTCACTGTTCAGGGTTCATTCTGAGAGGTCACGTTGAGGGTTGATTTGGAAAGATCCCATTTGTTTTGGGGGTTCCCTTCATAGACTCATTTTGAGGCTAACTCAGGGAGGTTGCGGAATGCTCGGCATTTGAGTTTCAAAAAGGTGCCGGGCTTGATTGAAGATTGAAGATCCCCAGGCAAAGCTTCCTTTGAATCTTCAATCCAAGCCCATGAGTCCAGGCTCCAGTTGAATTCAATCAACGTGATCAAATTCCGTCGAGCTGCGCATTGACGATGGTGGATTGAAGATTTGGTCATTGCTTTGGGAATCTTCAGTCTTCAATCTTCAGTCCAGCCCGACTTCACCCGATTGTTCTCAATCGGGCACATTCCCTCCACGTCCTGACCCCTAGACCTCAAACCATGGCTTGAAGGCGAGATCCGTTTGTTACGGTCTGGCCCATATGGGCATGGAGTAATTCACTACTTGCAATTGAGGCAAGTCATCATTTACTAATGAAGCACGGAGTTTGCCATGTCATTTGAATTAATTCAGTTGTGTTCTCGTATATCTTCATTTTGGGGAAGAGAGGGAAGAAGAGTCAGCGTCCATCCCCATTGTGTTCGATGTTTTTCCATGACATGGAAGGGAAAGTTCAAGCTCTAATTTATTTTGTTGAATTCTTACATGAAGATCAAGAAAAAAAAACCTGCATGGAACTGGAGCTTTCATTTCCCTCTGGCTAATTGATTTCTCTCTTGTATCATCATTGCGGAAAAAAGACACATGCATTCCGTTCTGCAAAAAAAAGTTTGGTTCTGGAAAGGCCTAACTAGTGAGTTATGTTATGTCCCTGGGTTAACATATGATTGTACTCCTTGTTGTGTTAAAAGGGATCTGGTCCTAGAGAGCCTCATTTTCCACAATGTTATTTGTTTTCGGTTTTCGGAATACAGCTCTTGATTTCTGGCCTCCAATCGTGGTAATGGAAAGCAAGACGTCAAAATGAAGATTGATAGAGCTCTTGGCAAGGATTCCTCACAAATATCCCAGCAAGTACGCGAGCACGGATTCCATGAGGACGTGTTACCAGGAAAGTTGTGACCTTCACGCCAGGTAAATGCTCAGGACAGAACCGCGGAATCGATTAGCGATTTGCATGTGATTTATTGTTTGGGGTTCCTTGAGCTTCAAGAAGTTTAGAGGAAACTTAGCGGTCAACTAGTGGAACGTTTGTGGAAATCTTTGTAGACATCCTGGAGTCCCCCTGACATCCTCGCCACATAATTTCATTCCTATGAAATTATAAGAACTCCCAAATGGGGACCCCTAATTTTACGTACCCCACATTTTCCTGAAAACTTCCTTATTTGTTCTTCAAGTTTTCCTCCATCGTTCTTCAATTTTCCACAGTCTTTGCGTCTCTCTGCTCACAAACTATTTCCACAGAAAATTTGCGATTTCCAAAAACAAATTGTTTTTGTGAGTCCAGGATTCACATGCCGAAGATGCTCACATTCTTGGTTTAAACGCCCAATGTGGAACGTTAGCCCAATAAGTAATCCTGATGGTGTCATGTTTCCCATGAACAAGACAGGGCATTTGTGTGTCTTGTGAACCCATATCAGGCTGTCTTTGGTGGTTTCGAGATTGAATGAGACTTGTGTCAGAGTTTGTATACGATGGTGACTGGTTCAGGAACGTCCTTCATAGTTACACAGCAATTGCATGGCATATATGATGTAGAGTGTTATGAGTACCGCTTGATAGGAAGTTCGTGGGTTTGCATAAGCTGCTTGCATGGAACACGTTGGAATCACAAAGCGTCAGTGGAGTTACTCCATATGAAGTGATTTACCATGGAGAGTTTGTTTTGAGTTTCTTTGGAGAAACTCTACTTGGATTCATACTTGCTTTGGGAGATTCTGGGGGTACCATGACAGACCCTCATTCCAAATTGATATCAAAAGTCCGAACAGCAGATTTGCCCCGAATTCTCACTCGTCCCATTTTGTAGGGACCCTTCCTAATCAACTTCATTGAGGCTCCTGATTATGCCGATCTGGTGGACTAGGATCCAGACTGAATGCTGCAAAGTTCTCATTGAAAATTGTGTTCCCAATGCGTATCAGATGTCTTCATGAGGAGTCTTAGAGCGAGTTCCTACATATGTTTTGCATACAGGGACATTTGGTTAGGCATCGATAGTTGATCAGAGGTTCATTTCAGGCGTCTAATTGGGGGGCTTGTTAGGAAACCTCAATGAGGTTCCTTACAACAAATCGTTTTTAGAATCCATGCTGGCGTCCATGTGGAATGTTTCTTAGGCATGAAACTTATGATGGATCCTTGGAGCTTCATGTTGAACTCTGTTATGGATCTTTATAGTGAGTCCTTATTGGGGTTCCTCATTGGAAATTTTGATTGGGACTTACTACAAGCGCTTAGTATATGCAAGTTCTGATTAGTAGCCCTGCTGAGGTCTGCATTAGGAGATTTCATCAGAGGGCCTTTACGATCCTGATTGGGCCAGGGTTTCTTGTAATAAGCTGAGAAGATGGCTTCCTGGGACGCGTTAGCATATATGTATACATATATATATATATGTGTATGCATATGTGGCTTTGTATATATACGTGAAGGAATACATGCGGGGTGGGATTTGTAGACTTGAACGGGAGAAGTCAAGAGCAAAGCTCAGTCTCAGTACCCGATAAGCAAGAGGCAATCAAACAATATGGGCGGGTGGCAGTGGACATTGGAAAAACTTAGGTGTGTGGTCGCAGGGTGATGCAAATGATGAACGTCAGTGGTGACGTTGTTGGCGGCAGCGTGCACCAGGACCCCAACATGAAAGGACACATATGGATAGATTCTGTGGAATGGTGGAGGGCAGAAAATGTTGCATTCTTGTGACCCTGTTACCTGACAACAAAAAGCGGGGCAATGGAACAACGGCATTAGAATCACAAGGGAGTCAAGGGAGTGCTGGGGGTAAGAAGTCCCAGGTGGGGGGCGCTCATGGTGAAAGCGAGGAGGGGCTGTGAGAGCCGTGAGGACAGTATGCCGGAAGCATGCGGAGCCAGTAAGGCAAAGTGGGGAGAGCTGTAGGTAGGTCGAGTTTGCTGATGCTGGGCCGAGAGTTTAAAGCCTTACATCTTCTTTTTTCTTCAAGCATGTCGAGCCTCTGTTTTTCAAAATGTCTTTGCATACATCTGCCTTCGGAAGCACGTCACGTTAAGCCTTGAAGTGGGACGCATGGCGCTGCCCATGGCAGGGCTTTTACCGACTTCCTCGCTTGGCGGCTGCAGCTGCCGCGAGGGACGAGGATGGAGGGGTTGTTCACGCGTTTGTGTGTCATGTCGGTTTGGCAGTTGGTGGTGTTAGTAGTCGCATTAGCAGTGACAGATGCTGCAGCAGCAGCAGCAGCAGCGGCGGCGGTGGTGGTAGCAGAGGCAGTCCTAGCAGTAGTCTTATGATCGCATTAAGCCTCATGAAAGTCAGCAGAAGCAACATGCAACCCCAACACACACGAGGATATCACCCACTCTTTTCTGTGAGACAGCAAACATGCCGTGTCTTTCTGGAATCCTCATCACAGGGACCAGTAGCATCATCCGCATCAATGTCATAGATCAGGTGTCGTTACTGCTGCAACGCCTCATCATCAATTGAAGATGCTCATGCTGAAGAGAATCATGTCTACATTTGTTCAGGAAGTTATTCTGCACAAGCGACTAGGATTCTCGCAGGCGTTGGGCCAAATATTTGTGGCAGTTCCTAGCGCAGAAGCTGGACAGCAACATGTGGCAACAGCTTAGATCTAGACATAGATCATCCGATGAGGCGCACATGTGTGATCAACCTGCCAACTCAAGGATGTCAACACCAAAGCACTTTCGTCTTGGCATGGAAGCCTTTTATGGGCATTGGCAGCCAGTAGCTTATTAGTTAGGATGCTCCTAGCAAGACTGATGACACGTCATGAGATAGCCATCAGCATGTCTGCGGCGCCATCTAACTGACATAGATGAGAATGAAGATGTTGTGTCCATCTGGGGCGTGCAGCCCACACGCCACGTACCAAGCAGTGTTGAGCAGCTGCTAATGCCAAAGTGTGCAAGCTAAATATTGTTCTTCTGAGGCTGAGTGCGGCATATGTCCCAGAGGCCACGACTTGATGTCCTCTGGAGGCATGAACAAAAGGGGAAACCGGCAGGGCGGCTCTGCCCGGGCTTTGCCGCTTCGTGCTTAGCGCGGACAGTGGTGCCCTGGTGCCCGGGGCTCGTAGATAAAGGCCTGAAGAAGGGCGAGCGTACTCTGAAACTAAGGCGCTGCCGGGCCGAATGCCTAAAGCCTCGGCACCTTGCCGAGGAGCTCCAGCAGAGATTACAACTTGGGATGGTGATGGAAATCTGGGAGGAGCTTGTTGGCGATGAGCCACTAGACATAGAGGCAGCAGGGCCTGGCAGTACGAAGGCTGTGGACAACGAAGCCTGCAGGTGGATCTGGTCCTCGACGGGAAGGTCTTCAGCACGCTGCATTCGTCCAAAGCCATTTTCGATGCTGCGCCGGAGCCAGCGGCTCAGATCGAGCCTGGAAATGCGCGCATTTTTTGCACTGTTAGGCGGGGAGACTTCAGATCCCAGCAGTTCATTTTCGCGATTAAGGTGCTGCTTGATAGGTTTGGTATTGTTGCGGACGTTGACTGATCATGGTCCAGCAGCTGTTTCCTTCCTGGTGCAGGTGCGCGACCTGCCCAGGGACAGCCATCTCTCGTTTCGATTGCGGCCTCAAAGTGCGCCTGCCAGGAAAGCAGGGCCCATGTACTGTAGCCCTCTCATCTTGTAATTTGGTGCCTGCCGCGCGAGCTGTGATCCATGCTCTGCAGTGATTAGCGGGACACTGTGTGCATTGGTGCGCAGCGCAGCTGCCGCAGAGCGCTGCGCTGGCGGAGCCTCATAATAGTACTAATGGTTGCTGGAGATGTCTCGCAGAAAACGCTGACAGTGCCCCAAACTGTAAAGTGTTTTTGCGGGATGGCCACGGAAATGAGTTATCCATGGTGAAAAACTGGCTTGCTTGTGTGCACCAGGAATTTCTTGCGTTTCCTACAGCTAGTCCAGCTTATGACTGCTTGCATATTCAGGTACAGCTGCAGGACCAGCAGGCATACACCGAGGGGTGCCCATCACAAATTAGTCATGTAAGCCCTTCATGCAGAAGAGTTTGCTTGCACCCCTTCTCAGGTGCTGGCACTCTTCAATGACCGAGGGGTCTTGCGTCAAGGCAGGCCCGGACATTGGAAGAGAGGTTGTGGATGTTTCTGGGTTGGACAGACATGTCACGCAGCTTAGGCCGTCGAGTGGTAGCCCTTCTCCCCGATGAGGAGGCCAAGCTGCGGTTTCGTAAGGGTGCTGCAGCATCCTACTTCAGGATCTTGGGTGGAGCCGTGTTTTGAGAGTTCTTGGTGAAGGCAGTGAAAAGGAGCGGCAAGGCTGCAGGACTGGCCATCCACGGTTGACAAGTCCAGGGCTGCTGTTTTGTGGCGCAGGAGAGACGCCTGGCACCCGAAGCGACTCCAATGAGGCACAGCCGCCCATGATACTCACGCACTGAATCGTGGCTCTGCAAAAGCGATTCTTCCAGGTCGCTATGCAGTGGCTTGAGGCCGAATTTGACTGTGGCGGCATGATTCGACTTGGTGACATGTTTGCATTTCGAAGCACTTGATCTGCAGCCATATTTGAGCTCCACCCTCTCAGAGCCAACTTCGCATCACTTCCTCTGAAGCCCTGCTATGAGTCAGCTCTTTCTATCGAACTTGACACTCTCGGACTTCGATGGCAAGTTCCAGCTTTATCTCAGTGATCGTGCGTTACGCTTCACTGACAGTGGCGAGCAGAACATGAAGATCATCCCTCGCGACAGCGTGGCAGCTGTCACAGTCCGAAGCCTTGCTGCCGATTCATGCCAAAGGCAGCATAGCAAAATGTCGTGCGCATGCCCAAGTATCTGCAAGATCATGTCGAGCGGCTCAGGAGATACGGATATTTCCTTCTCTACTGCCGACATTCCGAAAGCTATTGGCTGCGCATTGATTAGTGCAGCGGTTTCAGGCTGGCTTGAGCCTTGGAGGCATGCGAAAGAGGCATTACAGCTCAGGGTGAGGCAACCTGTCTTTGTCTTCTCATGAATAAACAAGGCTCGCCGATCTATGTACGGTCTCGTTCATGCCAAAGGAGCGCTGGACGGCTGCTCGGTAGTTGGAGCACTCGGAGGAGGGTGGAGGCCTCAGTCGCGAGCCCACATAGGGCCATGGACGTCACAGTCAAACTGCCTGCCCGGCGCATTACAGGTGGGCTGGGATGAGAATGGGATGCTGGCTATTCCGCAACACGCACATCCAAGATGGATCCTTTGTCGAGGTGCACACACCAGCAGGAGCGCAGAGCTTTAATTGTAGCGATGCACAAGCAAGAGCGTTTACCCGGCTTTTCACATAGAGAAAATCTGCAGTGCTTACAGTGAGGGGCCTTCTCGCAAAGCAGAGATGCCCCGATGCCCTTCTGACAGAGGCCAAGAGCGCTGCGAGCGCTGTGAGTGGCAAGCCAGGGATCGCTTACGGAGAAACACCTCTGCCTCGAATCACGCCAGCTCGCAATTCTCCAACTTCCAATTTCCAACCGCATGAGAGGCAGCCGCCATGCCTGGTGCTTGGGCTCGTGCCCAGCGTCTGGCAGAGGCTACCTTATGACATTTTGTTCAACTGGCGCAGTGGCTGCTGAAAGGCGCTCCGCCTGGAAGAAGCTCTGGAGTTGAAGAGACGAGGCAAGCACTTCCTGGATGTAGTGTATAGAAGCTGGAAGCCATGCATCTTGCTCGGGATTGCCGCAGGATGGATTCCAGCCGGTGCAGTGCAATGCGAAGATGCCTTTGCAGGCATGGCAGCCTTAAACTGGCAGAGGCAACACTCTGAGTGCAAGCTCCTGGAAGTCTGTGGAGGCGAAGTGCAAGAGACCCTCGAGAGCTCTGGCTTGGCATGGCATCAAGCTTGGGTACTCCCAAAGTCCAAGGACTGCAGGATACTGTAGGTAGATATTTCCATATACCTCCGCGATTTCACTTTTTGAGGTTGTCCGTACAGCTGCCGGAATTCCAGCACCCGGTAGTCTTCGCCGAGCGCGGATGCCAAGATAATTGTGATTGCAAGTGGGAAGTTGGACAGGCTGAGACAGCACAGCACGTAATGATAGCGTTATTTCCGGACAATGCGAATCGTGTGTGACTCTTTTTGCAGCTTGAGTGCACGTGTGATGCTGGCAAAGGCCACAGTACGGGCAGGACATCGAGGTCCCATCTGGTGTTCTTGCTGCATCCAGCATACAGGACGCCTGTTTGGCTTTGACCAGAGCGGTGTTTTTGTTAGGAGACTTCCCTGTGGATCATGAGTTCTCAGGGAAATTGGAGACTGTAGAAGAGTGTGCGGCTTGCTGGTGCACGCAAGCTTGAGCAAGGGTGATCAAAGACTCGCATAGGCACCTTGAAGACATTTGCCAGCTGGAATACCCCGAGTGCATGAAGACCAATCAACAAAGCAATGCTCCTTTGCAAGCTTTTGTTTTGGCCGAGGGCAAGGTGAGACTCCTAGACACATACTGGAAGTGTACATCCCTCAGCCATCCATGATCTAAGGTCCGCTTTCTGCATCCCACCAACACAAATACACTGCACACGTTTTTCGAGAAAGGACAAGTTAAGACGTCTGGATCATGACTTTTCTGTTGTCAGTGTCAGAGTTCATGGTGCCGGAACTTGGCATTGAAAGTTCGCACAAGGGGCTCTGGTGAAGCCTAAGCAGCCCTACTTGCAAAGAGACAGAAACCTTGTTGTTGGTTGCTGTGCGCAAATGGAGCAGATTTCAGGATGTTGACCAGCAAGACCTTGATGCCCTTCAGGGAGGGCAGTGGCTGTCGGGGCCAAACGATGTTTAGGCATCGGTGCCATGTGGCTCATTGGTTGCTCTCAACATTGCTGAGACTTCGATCGCTTCGTCCGGAGCCAGCATCTACAGCGCAAGGGCCTGAACACGGTGGTGATTTCAAACTTGGCGCTGACATTATTTCTTTCCTGCCAGTACGAGCTCCACGTCGGCTGGCTTCATAGGACAAGGCACTGCGATCACGGCTGATGAATCCTCAATGTCTGTGATTATTGTGTAAACAGCCGTTGGACATGTTTCCACAGGCCGCAGCTTCAAGTGCTTTCGAGATTACGTGTGCTTCCCGAACAGCTTTTGTCGTTTCAGCCGCAGTGGCTGACAAAACATCCGAGGGTGCGTCCTTGGAACATCCTGCGCTGCTGAAAAGCCTGCGCCTGGGCCGCTCCTCACGGGCTGCCATGTTCAAGGCACCAGGGGCATCTGCCTCGAGAGACGCTACATGCTTTCCCATAACGTGCAGGATCGGGATGCCAGGCCGAGTGCCGAGGAACTTCGGCGCTTGGTCCTGGGCTTAGGCTGTCGGCCGAGACACGGGAACTTTGTTCAGAACATCAGTGCCAACGCAACTGGTTGAGCTGACGTTAAGCTGCTAAGCTCTTCAAGTGGCTCGCGCATGAAGGCCGAGTTGGTGCGGCGCCCACGGCGCCAACTCAGAACGGCCCTTATGAAACACAGCGGAATGATTCAAAAGTGTGAGCAGGGAGCTCTCCCAAGGCTTCGAGTAACTCGCAAAGGCCTGCCTGCGTTTCTCAGGCTCGGAGGAAAAGGACCTGCTGTTCCGCTTCCGCTGGAGCTTGACAGCTACCTGGCAGCATTTTTTGTGCCGTGCCAGCCGAAGGGGGGTGCTGGACCTTGGGTTCCGGCACTCGGAAGGACCAGCCTGGTGCCTTGACCAAGTTTCTCCATGCGGTGGACTGGTCGCACGTGGAGGCCGTCTTTGCTTGGGGCTCACCTGCATTGCAGCAAGCATTTGAATGACCGGTTCAGGAACGGAACCATGCCATCGAGCTTCTAGGCCTGGCCTGGAGTTTGACCGGCTTGAAAACGACTCTGGAGAGCGGTCAGGGCATTGGAGCCCTGTTGATATCGATGATGCTTTGGAGCTCCTGAGCAAGGCGCTTCTCGAGAGTTTTCTGCCGTGTCCGTGTGTGCAATGATAGCGATTCCTTAAGCGTCTGCTTTGCGGTCACATCATGTGATGGGGAATCGGCACGGGCAGTGCGCTGCACAGTCTGCGTCAGGACTTCCAGGGTTTACGTGAAGTTCGGCACCATGCAGTGTGGTCTCCTGAGCTTTGCTGGGACACTCTTGCATTCGCATGCATTCATCCTGTATGAAACGCAGTCGGACCTACCTGCAGACCAGCTGAGTTTCATTGTATTCAACACGCAATTCTAGCTGCATGGCATGGCCCAAGGCAGAGGCTGCAGAATGCCAGCGATGCGGACTTGCAGCTTTATTTGCTGCAGCTAGTCCAGGCAGGCATCTTGCACTGGTATAGGGTGCAGGAACGCTTGAAATGTCTCCAGCTCGAGCCGCCGACCCAGAGGCAGTCAGGCTCTTCCCGGTAAGATGAGCCGGAAAGTCGAAACATAAGTCATAGGTCAAGGGGGAGGCGTTTCGTGCCAGCACAGCTTACGCTGCAGTCGCGTCATTACGAATAATTTAAAGATGATGTCTTATTTTGGGCTTTGGCGGATGTGCTCATGCTACCTAAAGTTCCCCTCCCGCAGGCAATCACGGAATTCAGACCCATTGCTATCACGGCTGTCAGCTACAAGATTTTCATGCGAGTCGTCACCAAGCGGCTACAGGTGCAGCTTGGGGAGTTTCGAGGTGGACAGGCTGCTGGGAGGAAGGGTGGACAGGTCTCTGAAGTCGTTGCCCTACTGGATTGCTTTCTGTGCAGGACTCAGGAGTGGTCGCAACCGGCATACATAATGGGTCGGGATGTTGCAGCGGCATTCCACACTCTGGAGTGGACGGCCATTTTGGAACTCTTCCGACGTAGGCCTGTGTCAAAAGTAGTTGCGGCTGCTATCCTGCAATCCCTTATGGGGCAACGCCTCACCACGACCATCTACGGCCACACTGCTGCCAGCATCACGCACCCCACACGTGGCGTGTGACAAGGAGCACCTGAAAGCTCCATCTTGTTCAGTGCAGCCACTGACATGGTCTTAGAAGACGTGCGT